TCTAATTTTAGACAAGCGTCCACCTGAGGTCTAACCTGGGGCCCACACTTAAAAATTAAAAGAAAGGCTCTTAACACCAGACTTCATCTATTAAGGCCTATCCTCAAGTCCAAACTCTCTATTTACAACAAATTATTCATATATAAATCAATGTTAATACCTATCTGGGTCTGTGGCATCCAAATATGGGGATGTGCCAAGCCTTCCCAAATACGGACTATACAAGCTTTCCAGTCTATTTCCCTTCGCCAAATAACATCTGCTCCATGGTACGTGTCAAACCTCTCACATAAAGATCTTAAAATTGAAACAGTCTCTAAAACAGCTAAAAATTACTATAAAAATGTCCATGCCAAAACAGTTTACACAAATCCTTTGATTTCTAACTTAGCCAGTAAATTCATGCCAAATAACCCACCACGTCGACTAAAAAGACACTGGTGTCGAGATCTCCTGAATCCCGATTTGCACTAATTAAAAATAAAATAAAACTCCCTACCCTAAGTTAGAGGGTATCCACACTGGTGGGCTTCTCTCCTCACGCTATTAATCTTTTTTACCTTCTTTGTTACCAAATTTATTTATTGTTTTATATAAATATTACAGATTGTAAATACCTATTGTTATCTAATAAAAAAAAAAATGTGTTTTTATATTTTTAGATTGTTTGGTTACAGAATAACCAATTTACGTGGAACCTTGTTTTACATTTTCAATCCTTAACTGTATAAAAGTTAAACATTTTATACATTTTTAACTACAAAATCATTTTAGATACGGAGTGATGTTACAATGATGTGTTTTTTAATTTTTTTAATTTTTGTGTATAACACCACCGATTGGGGCAGTAAAACAGCTTTGATTTTCTTAAACAGTATCTTGTTTGATGAGAAAGTGAATCTAGTTGGTTCATTCGGGAGGTAAAATTTAAAATTTCTCATTAGTTTTCAAAAGCGCCGGGAAAAACAACATAAAAATAAGGAAAACGGGAACTTTTACGCAAAATTGGATTCCCACAAAATTGATTTTGGTGTAAATCTAAAACAAATGAACGTATATACATGAAATTTTCACCAGTTGTTTATATTTGCATTTTCTATACATGATATAATTTTCAAAATATTTTGATTTGTTTTGAACTGTTTAGGGACATTTTAATTTTCCAATTATATTAGTTTTTTTTCTATGAATGTCAATAAAACTTTATTTGTTGGGCCAAAAGTCGTGAAAATGTAATACAAGGCTACTGATTTATTGCTAAAATATTAAAAATACATACGCACAATTTGTCTTAATAAGTAGGTATTTAAAGTTTGAATTTTGACAAAATTTGTCAAATTTATTTATAGTTATTTTGTAGTTAAAAGTTTATAAAATGTTCAACTTTTATAGCTAAGGATTGAACATTTTTAACAAGGTTCCACTTTAATAGGTTATATACTAATTAATTAATTAATTGATGATAAGATATTAGATAATAATTCTGGGGTTATCTGGTTAATGCACAAAAATGTATGGATTCGGTATTTAATGTAATAACAACCTGACAACTCCAGAGTTATCTATTTGTCGCGCTTAAATTCACAATAAGACGACTCCATTTTTACTCATATTTAATTTATTAATTATTAACGGAGAATTACGTTTGTTGCACCCATGATTCATTTCTTTCTTTATCATACCAATGAATAAAACGATTTCGCTCAAAAATTGAGTTGCCTGGTTGTTACATTGGACCCTTCAATTACTGTTTGCTAATGTTTGGGCCTACTATAATTTTACATGACTGTTACATTTCAAACACGGCAAAGAAAAATTCAAAATTTAGGCTTATCTGTAGTAAGAATAAGACTGATTTATGTGAAATTGGACCATGGATAAGATGGATATTTTGGTCCATCACTACTTGAACCAGAATTGTTAACAATTGCTTTGCAAATTATTTTATTATGAGTATAAAATCTACAGATGAACGAGTCAGTCGATTTAGTGATATCTTATATTAATACTATATTGACAAAAATGCAATATTTCCACCATTTATTTGGGCATCATGCCGTCAATTGATATATCAAGTGAAAGGACTACAAATGCCTGTGAGTCATTTCACTCAACATTCGAAAAATACTTACATATGTTAAAATGAATAATATTCAAAAAGAAAAAGACATAATTTTAAATATAAAAAAGACTAACATCGAAAATTATATTTCAAGATATAAAAACGGCAGTATAATTATGTTTTAATTTGTCGAGTTGATAAGTTCATCAAGTAAGGGTAGTGACTAGTGTTACCACTGGGTAACTCCTCTCATCAAATAATCATGTATCTATTTTTTTTTCTATTACCACATATTCTTATTGTTCCTAAAGGAACAGATTGTATATAGGTACAGTATAAATAATAATAAAAAAAAAAGTTGGTATGTCATCGTTACAAAAAATGAAATTACAATTTTATTTTTCATAATTTATTTTATAATTCTCAACAAGTTTTTTTACAGTTTTTGAAATTTTATATATTATTTTTATATGTTTGACGTATACAATTTGTATTATAATATAAGTATATAACCCACTTATTATATGTGTGATCAACGATGCTATACATACCTTGATAACTATATGTGACGTACAGGGTGTAACAGAAAGATTTTACAAATTAAAAATGAAAATAGATACTAGTTAAACGTATGAAAAATATATGAAAATTGTATGGATAATAAATTATTTAAAATTTACTTATGTCCACTATCTATCGAATTAATTTACTCCAAATATTTAAAAAAATTGTAAAAATAAACTACTTGACTTAAATAAGTGTTTTCACCATAACATTTTTCTAAAAATTAGATTTACAAATTGGATATTTTTATTTTTCCCAAAAAAATTGAATAAAATTAAAACATTTATTTATTTACCTACTTATTAAAAAATAAAAATAAATTGTATTCTATATTTGTAACGCAGAGGTCTATAAATTATAAATAAAAAAGGTTTTTTATATTTATACTGATAAGGACAATAAATGTGTTTAATTTGCCAGGTCATTCTGTTACACCTTGTATATACTCATACCTAAATTATAATAATAAATGTATGGCATTGTTTTGATAAGATTAAATGCGTGTTATATATAAGGGAATTTTTTAACAAAATATTTGCATAACATTATTCAAGGCTCATGTGTGTTAAGTTAGTGTCGTGCTCGTAATTGTTATAGTTTTGAAGCGTCTCAAAAAAAACTTCGTAACTATAATACTATATTATATAATTTTGATTTATTCAATTTAATATATTATGTAATAATAATAATAATATTTATTAAAATTATATATTTCTTTTTAATTTTTAAATTAACTTTGTTTTATAAAGAATCTAAAATTTAAACTTCATTGTTATTTAAAATAATTAAATTGTTAGCTTTTAAAATTAATATTATATGGGCCCCGTGTCGTTTCGAAGAATGGCAATATGGGGAAATTCCCCCCCTAGGTTTTTAATTCTGTTTGTCCTAACATTTATTTTATATTTAAATTAACATAGTTATGTAATCATGTATAATGTATATTGTATACATTTTAGACCTATATTTGGTATTATAAAATATTATAGTTAGGTGCTTACTTTAGAAAAAAATCTTCATTTATTTTTTATATTGTCTTTGTCCCCCACTCATCCCCTGGAAAATGAATGCGGATGCTTATGAAGGACTTATTTAAAAAATTTGAGCAATACATTTTAAAAAATGAACATTATTGTGTGTAATTCGTAGTAACGATCACGTTACTTTTTCAAAAATCCATTAAGAGGATGTCACACCCGTATGTGTTGTCTCCTTCTTACAAATGTTATGTACAACATGGCAAAAACTGTTTTGCACGGGACAACTTTTCTCGCACCATATTTGTTGTAGAACTACCAAATTTTCACAACACGTAAAGAAGAACTTTATCTGTGCAACAGATTGATTTTTTTTTTATAGCATTATCCAATCATTTTTCATAAGGAAATGAAAAAAAAACAAAATGTTTAGAAGCAAATAACTTTTATTGTATTTATGTTATCTAAAATATGGGTACGCTGTTGCATAGATAATTTTCCACCCTATATGTTCAGAAATTTTGGAGCCACTACTACAAACACAGAAAGATAAAAGTAGTCCCTCACTCCTGCTCAAAACAGTTTTTGCAATGTTGTACTTTTGTAAGACGGAGATAACACACGCGGGTGTGACATCCTCTTAACTGTTGTGTGCCACCATTTTTATGGATCTAAATGAGATCTTTATTAGATAGTCATAAAAAAAGTTTGAGAAGCATTGAAATTAAAGTTTACTTCATTGTCTTATTTTTAGACATTCCTATGGGGCTATGATGAATATGTATCTATGGATAAGTTCAGCAGTCTTTCCTGTTCCTAAGGCAGGTAATGCTTTAAAACTTACAAAGTCGATAAATGCTTGACTATTTATATATTTTCGCGAGCAGGTGGTAATTTCTTAGTTCTTCGTTATTAAACCATCGATTAACCTCATTTTTATAAACGAATGTACCTAGTTTCAAAAACAACTTTAGCGCTATAGACGACATGAAATATTTTCAACATCTTCTGTTCACTAATTACATATTAATGGCTATTATCTCTTTTGCAAGGTACATTGCTACCTGTTTTAAAGTTACAACTTACAAGTACTCATAAGATACTCTGTATGAAGATATCACTGCTAATACTGAACCAAATTAAAATATAATTTAATGAATAACTTACATTAAAGTTTCAAGTTAATGATAAATCTGTAATTTATTATGTATGATATACCAATGCCATTTATTATAATATGTGTAGGACATAGTAAGTAATATGTCTACACATACAAAATATATAAGTATTAATTGATAGAAATTACAATTTCACAGCTATTCATTAGTTTTTAATTTATTTACTGTTATTTTAGATATTTATACATAGCAGCTGACAGTTGTGAAACATAGTTGATAATGATTGAAATTACTCATATTGAATCTTTAATCGAAAAACATGACACTCCTGTTAGAGCGAATTCGAAAGGTGATAAGCGCAATATTTTTGTATTGTTGGTATTGTATACCTTACAAGGAGTACCGTTAGGTTTATCCTTAGCAATACCTATTATTATACAAAACATGTATCGATCATCATTTAAAGAACAAGTAAGTCAAATAATAAACGATTTATTTATTTAAAAATATTCTTAAAATTGAATGATAAAATAATAAAAACATTTATGATATGAATAGGCTAAATTTAGTTTCGCAGTATGGCCATTCAGCTTGAAGCTTTTATGGGCACCGTTAGTTGATTCTTTATTTATACGTAAATTGGGCCGTAGAAAGTCATGGTTGATTCCAGTCCAATATTTCTTAGGTATAAACAAATGTTTAACATTACACATTTACACATAATTGAAAAATACAAAACTATATAAATACAATTGAAAAGGTGTCTTAACATTTTTGATAATGTGTTTTGATTATTTTATAGGTATATTTTTCTTTATTACTGGTTTTCATATAAACGAATGGCTAGATGATGGTAGTAAAGTAAATATTAATGCTTTAACATCAGTATTTTTTATTCTAAATTTCCTTGCTGCCACTCAAGACATAATTGTTGACGGTTGGGCATTAACCATGTTAAAAAGGTTTGTGTTTATCATTGTTGAAAAATATAAAATTTGTTAAAACGCTATTAATAAAATAAAATATGTATAACTATGCACTATTACACGTGCATATTAAATACTAATAATTTATTATGTTGTAGACGAAATATTAGTTATGCTTCAATGTGTAATGGTGCCGGACAAGCTTTCGGAATATTTTTGGGTTATATTTTGCCAATTTTATTGTTATCGGAATCATTTTGGAACAGATGGTGGCGTACTACATCCATACCAGGCGGTGTTATTTCTTTACAAGGTACTACCTATATCTATATTAATTATAATATACTTATATAAATAAATAATTAATATGTTTAATGTATATTAAATTATTTTATTATGTACCCATATAAAATATAAATATAATTGTTTTGATAATAATATTATGTTTAGGATATTTTTATTTTTGGGGAATTATTTATATTGTCATTACCACATTGGTAGCTATATTTAAGTATGAAAAGGATTATTTGTCAGAACTCGATGCTGTTGATCTTAGCATTGCCAAAACGTATATGTTACTTTTCAGTATTATGAAATTACCTAGTATCAAGATGTTTGCTATAATTTTAATGACTATCAAAGTAAGCGTATTTTGCATTAAAGTATTAAACAATATACTTAATTATACTACAAAATTTAAATTAATTTAGATGAGTTTTTGTTCAGTCGATGCCGCGTTAAAATTGAAACTTATAGACAGTGGAATTACCAAAGACGAAATTGCTGCTATGGATTTGTTATTTATTCCTTTAAATATAAGCTTACCGTTTTTCATTACAACATTTACATCGAAAGAAAAACCATTGAAAAATTATTTCAATACTATACCCTACCGGTAAAACTAAAACAATAATAATATTATATACTTATTAATTATTATTACATTTGAAATTATCTTTTGATGATAATTTCTTTCTTAATCAGTATGTATAACACTTTAAATTATTCTTTAGATTACTGTTCGGTGTAGTTTTAGCAACTATCGTTTACTTTACACCTTATTTTTTGGTTCAGACAGGGTCTTTACTTATCACGTACAAAGTATTTTTAGTGTTGATGTACAATTTACAGCAGGTAAATATATTCACTTACCAATTGTTATTTGTTTTGTTTATATACCTAGCGTAATCTCTTGATTTTTGTTAGATAGACAATTAAATTATTAAAAAAATTATCTTACAACAATAATAATACGTACCTTTATGGTTTCTAATATTTTGTTGAGAATTTTTTAATTTTCGGTCACTGATGTTGATTTACTGACATTTATATTTTTGTTTCCTTATAGCTGTTAATACCCACCTAAATCGCTTATAAATGTATCTATAGGTATATTCTATGTGTCTTGTTTGACGGTTTTCGTAAACTCAAAAAAAGGTTTTAACGTTTATTTCAATTTCAGTTATCTGTGAGTATTATGACATTGACGGCAATGACATTTTACGCAAATATAAGTGATCCAAAAATCGGAGGTACAAATATGACTCTGTTGACTACTATATCTAATTTAGGAAATGTGTGGAGCAAAACTGGAGCTCTGTGGCTTATCGAATTCTTGACTTTCAAACAATGTTCTAACGATCCTAGAAAATTATGTTCAACATCAAATAATCAGAAGGTAATACAGTAAAATAAATAGGTTATAGGTATATTAAATAAATGCTTATATTTTTAATTATCTGTCCATTTACAGGAAATATGCAGTTTGTCTGGTGGAACCTGTGAAGTTTATATCGACGGTTTTTACATAGAAACTGTCATGTGTACAATTTACGGAATAATATGGTTTTTTATTTTTAGAAAAATCATAAATAATCTTCAATCCAAGCATGTAAAAGAATGGCATGTGGAAATTAAAATAAAATAAGTACAATGATATAATGTACCAACTAAAATAACAATCTAATTATTTAATGAAACATTAATTGAAGATTTTGAAAAATATTTTAAATATTGTTTTGTATTTTACATTTTCATTCTTAAATTGGTATGTATATTCAATAAATTATATTTCAGTGTAATCAAAATTACTGTTCATAACAAACATTGAAATATAATATAACCTATTTTGAATACATATTTGAATATAATATGATTGTTGATAAATATCTTTGTTTTATTTTTCTTATTGATAAATATTTCTATTTTCTACAAATACAGTCTAGTACTACATGTTTTCCTACACCAAATCTGGCAATGCCCATTTCAGAAATTGTTCTATTTATGATATTTCTTTTTTAAATTATATAATTTGTAATGTGATATTTGTGTAACTATTGTAATTATTATAAACATAGGTACAAAACATTAATATTTAAATTTAAGTATTATTGTTATTGTTTGTTTATTAAGGAAAAAAAATTCCAATTACATTTTAAATAGAAGATAGTATTAAGGGGAAAAGAAGAGAGAGAGAGAGAGAAAATACATATACAAATATATATACATTTCGTGTAGTTAGTAAATACTCAGTGACGTATTATTCTTATGGGTGACAACCCCTCTCACACTTGGGAATTCGACCTTGGTCTTTTGAGTACTTTTAAACGTCCTATATTAACCAATTTTAATCACCGTTTTACCCTTTCTCCCGTTCGTGGAGCACATTAGACACACCGCACACTATTAGTTTTACTCAAATATTACAATACTCGATGTACATTGACACATATAATATTAGTATGTACTATGTAAGTACTCGACAATTATAGGTCATTGGCTGTGTGTACCTCTACGGTAATTTCGTACAGTCCGATATCGGGATATGACTGCAGAACAACCGAAGATCGTGTGTGCAAATCTCTAGAAATTGCAATGGCCACAGATACAGAATTGTCGTTCAAAAGTATTTTTATAAACAACCTTGGGTAACGTGATCTGACTTCACTTATCTTAGTATGGTATCGTCAGTGGCGTACATTCAAATTTGCTCTGGGGGAGGTTAAAAAAAAATAACCAGCACTAAAACCTTCTCTTTGCAACTACCCATTTTCCTAACAATCAAACACATTACACGTATAAATATTAATAGGCAAAATAGCAAAACAAATACAAAGGTTTACGTAACTCATGGCAGTTAAATATTATTTAATATGCACATAGTAAGTACAGAATATTATAAATATTATATTATTAATTTTATAATAAAAATTCTATTGATTGTGATATTCTAAATTCGAATGATTTTTAAAGTCTTCCAATGCATGTTTCCAATCATCATATTTTTTTAATACAAATGCTCCCAATTTTTGGTTATTAACGCCGGCTTCATTTTTAGTAAAAGCAACACAATATTTGCAATACGCACCATTGTTTACTTCTGAATAGGCCAACCAGGGAAAGTTAATTAGCCATTTAGGTATATTGAAATTTCAACCTCAAAACTTTTTGTTGTTTACCGATTACTGATATTTTGATAGGAAAATTGTAATTAATATCAGGGACCCAAATTTCGCTCAAAATGTCTTCTATTTCACTTTGCGTTAACAATTTATTTGTGTAATGTGCAATGTCAAAAATATTATAACTGGAAGATGTACGATTAATATCTGTAGTCGAAGGTGTAAACTGAGTGATACGTGTATCAGATGCAGATGCAGTTGATGGTAATGAGGAACTAGAGGAACAAGGAACTTATAACTGTTAGAGTTGCATTCAATGAATTTGACAATGAATTCATTATTGAGGGTGGTTTCGAAAAAAAAGTTTCGATTGTTTTTTTTCAGCCATGATTACTATTTATTTTACCTTCAAATCCTAAAATATATCGAAATCGAATGATAATGATTATGATGTGATAATAATAATTTTTAACTTAACTACTAATTTACTAAATTTATTTTTTAGTCAACGTTAAATTAACGAATTAATTTTTTTATTTGTAAGTTAATCTTAATTTATTTTGTTTTTAATTTTTTTACATTTCATTATTTGAGTCTATTTTGTTGCCAATTGACATATGTCAAAATTTCAATAATATAGATTATAGACATAATATTATGATATAGTTTGCCGACACTAAAATCTAAAAATAAACAAAAAAAAATCAATCAATTACCTATTGATTTTATGATTTTACGGTTTTGTGAGATTATTAATTATTATTAAAAATTATTATTAACGGTATTCACGTTGATAGTTAAAACATTAAAATTAAAAATACCTACTCATCGTATTATGATGTACACAAATAAAATCTGTTTGAAAGACAACTAAAATATATAATACTTATTTATTATTATTTATTACTTATTACTTATGTGATAGGTAACTTCTGTACTTAAAAATACAATATATACTATATCTTTATGTGTATGCATATTAACTTAACTGAGTTAAAAAAAAAAAACTTAACTCGCCCAGTCTTGTGTGTTTATAATGAGTCGGTCGAGATAAAGACAATATTAATATGTATTTATATCCGCACGCAACTAACTGACTGTGTACGATCAAAATAATGTCTATTTTGATTGATATACCATAATACCATATTATACGGCACCCATAATTTCGTTATGAAATCTTTTTTCGTCGTTGGTTAAGTATAGTGTTTACTGTTTACTCAATAGTCATATTATTATAACGTATATTTGTGTATACACGGTTGATTAATAATAAGAAATTCATCAATAATATCACATTATTTTTTTTTGGTCCTGGGGGGGGTTTGAACCCGAAAACCCCCCCCGTATGTACGCCACTGGGTATCGTAGTCCTGAGCGTTATACTTTGAGGTGGATCGGGTGTGTTTAGCTCCACCAGTTTTGAAATCGGCAGCGTCGTAACATATTAATTGTTATATATTTTTTATGTACGCAAACACTTCCAGTAGTTTTCGGTTTTTACAACACAATATGTATAATAGTTGTATCGATATACAGGGTGTCCCGTGAGGATTTACTCATTAGCCGTAGAGGGGGACACGCCGCCCGGACAAAAACCAGTTTATTGACGTTTTACTAATAAACTAAAAAAATTATTAAAAATCATGAGATTAATGAAAATAAAATGTTAAAAGCTCAAAATGTTCACAAAAATATACTCTATAGAATGGCTATCTTCAATTTTTTCAAAAATAAAAAAATAAAAAAAATAATTTTTTTAACTTTTTTACAAAAAAATTTAATTTAATTAAAAAATAAAATATTTGTAGTGCTTACCTCTGCGAGTCTTAATAAAAAACATAATTACGATATCTCCATTATTTCAGGAGATATCGCAATGAGTAAATCCTCACGGGACACCCTATATGTTGAGTAGTTGATATTTTTATCATAAAACTGAATCATATGTTCTTAATATTATATAGTATCACTGAGCTACGACTATCCGTCGCAAGCCCGTATAAGGATAGTACAAAGCCATTATTGTAAATATCAGCAACTATACCTAGTACCATTATGGCATTATACCTATTACCTACCTATCCGTAGTAAGTGGATATGTGGGAGGAACTAGGCGGGTTGCTCATTATGTAATGATTACACTGTAAATTGTAAACTACCTACATGATCACAATACTCACTCTGACTGAAAAATAGGCGTCTCCAGACTTCAACACTCATCAGTAATTTTATTGAAACAGCTCTCATATTAGTGATGTTATTTCGCATCGCTTTTTCTGGAACATAACACGATATTAGTAAAAAATTTATATGACAGAGTTGGCCAAAAAATCGATACCCGCAGTGGAACATTTTTTTTCTATCGTCGCAATAATAATAATAATAATAATAATATATAATATACAGTTGAGAACAAAAAGAATGCTTAATGTGCGGTCGAGGTAGGATAAAGCGGTAGAAATATTTTGCGCTATAACCTTATCGATCTAATACATTCGGTACGGGATTTCTTTTGCGTTATATAATAATATACATTTATCGTTCTGTTTTGTATATTATGATAAATTGTCTAGCCACACCATACACCACCTAATCTCTATAATATATATTTATATATTTATTGTATGGTCACGGACGAAGTTTTATTTTTCCAATATCACGGTCGGACGGGCCACTGCCACAACGCGGAACAAAATTAATATATCACTTAGGTATTGGATATTATAATGAAGTATCGTCAAAGATCGACCGACACGTTTTAATAATAACCTCTCAAACCAGGTTACCGGTCGTCATTAGTCTTGCACAAACAGTGCCTACAGTATTCGAATAATGTAGATATTGAGATTGTTTGAAAATGTATTCAAACATGTTTTATTTCATAGTAACGACTAACAACGGTGTGATTGGTGCGTGGCGCAGAGGATATTTACTTGGCGTGTACGACTCAAATGCGTTAGTGACTCTAGTGAGTTATCTGTTTCGTCACTCTCAAGTTAAATAGTATACTATTTCGACCGATACTCCATAGTCGACGGTGCAAGAGAGGTGGATATTTAAAAATAACATTTCCAAGCCTTCGAGTTCTTCTCAATGGAAGCATTTTAAAAACGGAAGTTTGTACTGTCACAAGACACTTCTAATCTAATACAAAAATGTCAACAATTCTAAAAGATGGTCTTCAAGTATATTTGAAAAATACATATTAAAATACATATGTATACATGTATACTAATTTTAATAAATATTATTGTGTGAAGAAAATGGTGGTGTGTCTCCAAGCCCCACAATATAACTCGGATCACTTAGCTGATCATTCGCACTTCGTTTCCCGTAAAAAATGACACCTCTTAAAATTAAATTGTGATTGCTCAACTCCTTTGGGGTGTAACTATCGCTGCAGAAAGTTCTACTCAGTTTCCTTGGTAGGCGATGTGTGAAAATTCAATTTGATGCATGATTGTACCTGCTCTACTCGATTAACCAATGGCAACCAATACAATAATAAATACTAATCTCTACT